GGGGGGGGGGGGGGGGGGGGGGGGGGGGGGGGGGGGGGGGAGGGGGGGAGAGAGGGGGAGAGAGAGAGAGAGAAAGAGAGAGAGAGAGGGAGAGAAAGAGAGAGGGGGGTGGAGAGGGAGAGAGAGGCGTTACCGCGGGCGTCTCCGGCACACGCGCCTCTGACGCAGCCCGGGCTCAACCTTCTCTGCACTGGACTCGGTGAGGCTGGATTTGCACAACCCTCCATTTCCCAGCCCCGGGCGGGGGTGAGGTGTGCTGGGAAATCTACTTCCCGGGACGGGGGCGTCTGTGGGGACCTGCAGCCCTCGTCAGAGACTTCCTTTGGGAAAGGGGAAGGCTTGTGACATTTCTGTGGGCAAAACCTGCTGCTTCCCACGTCTCTCCACATTGTGTTCCAAGCTGATGGAGGCCCAGGCTTCCCAGAGGCCTCCTCTGGAGAGAGATGTCAACTGGCCCGGTCACTTCTGCAATGCCAGCTACGACCGGCTCACAGGCCCCGCTTTTGCTACCTATGTGAGAACCTGACTTGCCTCAGTTTCCCCCTCTGCTTTCAGGCCTCGGCTCTGACCATCTAACTGTCCTGCATCATAATGGTGAGTCAGGGGCTCTCAAAGACCAAAGCACTCACAGCCCACCTGCTGCGGAATCCCAAGGCCAAGGGCCTTGCAGAGACAGGAGTCATAGCACCACCTTAGGGAGCTCTTTTCTCTCTTAGAATAACAGAGAAAACTTGGCGCTAAGATACCAAGTGCGGCTGATGTTTTCAAGTGAATTCCTGGTAGGAATGTAATTTAAAATCTTTTAACTCGAGTGTTGTTTAATTTTTGTCAAAATGATGGTTTTCATTAATTTATGTATAACACATTAATACATTTGTTCATGGAGTGATGTGAGCTTCAATTTCTCAGTTCGTTAATTTCAATGGTATTAATTTATCTCTGACTCACCGTCACAAGTTTCTGGTTTGGCAGACCTGTGTGTGTACACACTGCCGATGTGGCACCAGCTTTCAAGGGGCCTCGGCGCCACGTGGGACAGGGCCGCGGCACCCACCACCTGCCTTTAAGCAATCCTGGTCTGGTGCCCGCTGATGGCTCACAGGCCAGTCGGCGGCACCGCGGGGGCCTGGGTGTCCCTTCATACGCTAATAGACGTTGTGAAGACAATTATTTCAAATCACTGATACCTTTCCAGTTCCTTTTTTGAGCATTAGTTCATCAAAGTGAAATATGCCACCGACTTCACAAAAGGGCCAGTTTGTCTTCTCCACGGTTACGTCCTCAGCACCCAGCAGAGAGCCTGGCACATAGTAGGCGCTCAGTAAATACTGGTTGAATGGATTCATTTTTTTTAAGGAGTAACTGGATTTGATTTTCACTGGGAGGAGCATTTACTGAAGGTGGTGTCTAAAGGACGCCAGGTCACGGCCACTTAAGTGCCTGTTTGCCTCAGCACATCACCAAGAGCCGTGCACCAGGTGGCAAGGCCTAAGGGCACCCTTGTAGCTCCGCCTGTCACGTACATCAGGGGCACCATGGAGCCTGCGCTGCCCGGGAGGGCTGGGTGCTGGGCAGGTTCTGGGTGCCGGCTCTGCAGGGCCCCGTCTGTGGACAGCTGCATCCAGGTGGTATCCCCCATGCCCTGGGGGCTGGCCCTTTTCCCGCCTGAATCTTTGAAAGAGATCACTCAGGAAAATCCACTCCCGTCCACAGACAGGACTGCAGCCCAGCCTTGGAGCACACACGGCCCTGGGTCTAGAGGCCGCCCCTTCCCCATGGTCTGTCAGACGAGGCTGAGAACAGGCTCAGCCTCAGGGTGGCCAGAGCAGACAGACTTGGAGGTGGGCTCCCCAGGCTGCATGGTGACCCATCATCCCTGATCTGAGCCTACATCCACTGCCTGGTGACTAGGAGGCAGCAAGCCCAGGAGCTATGGGTGGCCAGACCTGTGCGGAGAAGTGCCAGGCCCCAGGCACAGGCACGTTTGCAGAATGTGGCTGAAAATGACCACTGGTCACCATAATCCCGTTTTCTCTCCCACATGGTTCCACCCCATTAGGGCACAGGGTGGTTTACCCTGGGGGATGAAGGTTATGTTGGAAGGACGAGCTGGATAAACACCAAGCAGCAGAATGTGGTACCTGCTGGGGCTCAGGGAGTGGGTGTCCTTTACACAGACACCGGGCGGGGGTGGATTGCATCACCGTGGGCCAGAGGAGAGCATGCAACGGCCACGGCAGGGGCGCAGAGGAGGGGCCGCGCCCCCGCCCATCCCGGGGAGCCCACCATGCCGCCCTCACCTTGCAGCCCGTTCCCGTTGGCGCTGGTGCAGGACGGAGGAGGGGAGGCTTGGGGCCGGACCACGGGCGCGAAGGCGCTCTTCTGTTTCACTGCGGAGATGACATTGGCAGGTGAGAATGAGAAAATGCCGTGTGTGCTGCTACAGTTTGAAGGGAGGGTGACCGAAGAGGCTGCCATGGTGGGGCTGGACGGCACTACTGCAACAAAGCAAACACGGTCAGCGCGCACGGCCGCGGCACAGCGCCACGCGGGAGGGCGCGAGGCCTCAGCGCGGGGCCACAGACAACACACGACACGCTCGGCTCGGCCACTCTCTGGATAACAGGCAGACCCTTCGGTGTGGGGCGTTCTCTTCCAATCGAGCGGCCCCACTGGGGTCCCATTTGGATTTGGTTCCCCATGAGATCGCATCTTAGGGGCCCATTTTAGGTCAATTTGTGGTCGTCATGTGGACGCCCAGCCTCCAGGGCCACCCTTCCTTTTATCCAGTAGCTCACATCACAGAACATCCAAGCAATGCACACACTCGACTTTGCAGTGAATATGAATCTGCGTGATGACGTGTGACAAAAAGACACTTACTGCCGTAGGGAGAGTTAGCGGAGGAGCCATTAAGAAATCCAGGCGAACCAGGGACCCCTAGATTGGCCATGGCGCCACTTCCATATCCATTCATGCTAGTGCTGACTGTGTTGTAATTGGACTGCTGGGGAGTACTGCTGGGGACGTATCCTCGCGGGGACACGCTGCTTGTATTGCGACTGTAGCCGACTGTTGAAATCCCCCCCCGGCCAAAAATAACGTTATTATTAGCGACAGACACTTGGGGGGGGTTTCCCCGAGAATCTATATCATATATTAGACAGTTTTAATTGCCCCCGCGCGTTCCTCCAGCCCGGCGCCTCTAGCCAGCTCGGATAACCTTGTCACGCCAGCCCTGCTGCAGCTGTCCCGGTGGCGGCCGCGCTGTCTCTGTTGGCTTCGACAGCGGCCGAGGCGCACTTCGATCTACCGTCAGCTGCTTTCACGTTTCTCTTTAGAAGCAATTATCAGCAGCTCCGATTCCCGGCCTGTCCCCCCACACTCTGTGAACTTTCAGCCTCTGCAGACCTTCAAATGCCATGGCTGACAGGGAGAGCTTGTTTGTGGCTGTAACTTCCCTCAAAAGGCTGTTTTGGGGTCTTCATTTTTACGGTTGCTATTTCTGTAAGTGGGGGTGGGCGGGGGGCTGGCAGCTTCATTCCTGCCATGGCAGCATGGATGAATGGGACCCAAAACAGCAGTCCAGCTGAGGTGTTTGCTGAGATTACCGCCTGCGTAGTTTTTAAGAGGAAAGCTAAAATGGACTCACACGACAAGGTGCCAGGGCCCAGGTCACTGTGCTACAGGGTAACGTACAGGGTGGGGACATGCGAGTGTCTCCCCACTGATTCCAAACTTAGAATGGAAATCTCACCCATGCAACAAATTCCAGAAGGCTCCTACTGGCTTCCTACGTCACAGCTACCCTACGGCTTAGCCCAGTCTTTCAAGAAAAGCAAAGTCACTTATGAATAAATTAAGGGACACTTCCAGCATATGCCAGTGAACTCAGCGGCAGCCGACGGAGCTGCTGTATGACTAGTTACCGGATTCTCTGAGCGTTCTCTGCCCAGCTCTGGCCGGGGGAATCTGTGGCAAGGTCTTCCCCGAGAAAAGGAAGTGGCCAGGCCACAGAGCGTGGACGGCTAATGACATTCCCGCGGGACTACAGACATGCTCAACTGTAGCTAAGGCCTCAACCACCCTGTGGAGGGGTCCAGGGAAGGGGGTGCACCCGGCACGGCCGCGTACCTTGGTCGTTGGCTTGTGATGTCTCCGACACATTGACGGCGAGCTGGCTGCTGAAGGAGTTCACGCCCATCATGCCGGTGTGTGCAGGGGTGTTGCCCAGGGTGGGGATCTGGTTGTGATTGCGGGGGACGCTGTACAATGCCTCGGCGATGTCAGCCGCTCGCTTCAGGATGATCTCCTAGAGGGGGGACCAGTGGAAGCCGTCACACCGAGGCCGGGCCCAGTGGCCAAGCCCCTTAAGTCCTCTCCAGGCACCTCACTGGGACAAACAGTGGTGACACCCCGCTGTCCCTTGGCCCAGACTGTGACAGACCTATTTTTGATGGGAAAAGGACTTCCCCTAGGAAAATTATTTAACGATGCTTCTGAGAGGGTACAACATCTGCTCTATTCTGTCCCAGGACCCACAGCCCAAAAGAGTCACTGAAATATGCCTGAGGACCAGGGTGGTGTGGAAGGTGCTAGACTCACAGTCCAAGAACCAGGTCCACATCTAGAGAAAGGACCCTTTGCACCTCTGCCCCCGGGAGACCCCAGGGCCATGTGAGGACGGGCTGTGAGGTGCCCGTGCTGCCCCGGCCCAAGCCCTGGCTGCACCCAACACAGTCCACCCACCCCTGAATACTGGAGATGGATTTCATGGTTGTGCTCTTTCCTGTGACACACTCTTCTGCTGGGGTCCTGTCACCAGCCCGTCACTTTCTATGTGAGTGCCTACTATGAGGGCAAAACAGGAAGCCTGTTCCCCATCAGACTCTCACTCAGAGGCTGTGAACGCGTGTGCCCAGAAAGCCAGTGCTGGAACCAGGCCAGCAGGCCGCCCAAGGACACTGGTCACCACAGGAAGGGGACAGCCAGTGGAGCCG